GTTAATATTTTCCCCTTCCCTTACGACACACACACACAGACACACACACACACTCGGACGCAACCGTTCCATAATCATGCCCATGGCACATGCGGCCCGGCCCAGCACGCGACCCAGCCATAGAAGTGCCATAAAGATATGGCATCGAGCACGGCTCGGCTTCCTCGTGCCCGCGCCGTGTTCGAACGCCCTGCGCCGCGTGCGCCACGGCCGGCCGAACCGAAATGTCACCGACATCGACGCGTCGGCCGTCGGCGCCAAGGGGTAAGGAGGGGACGAGGGGACGGGGGGCTCGCAGAGACGGACAAAAGGGATGGGCGGCGCAACGGGATTGCCCCCGCTCTGCTGAAAACACATGGCAGCCACTTTTCCTTGTTTGGGTCGCAGCAAGAGGGACGGACACAGAGAGAGAAGGGGAAGGGGTCAGGTGTGGTTCCCTCTCCTGCACCCTCACTCACAGGAGAGGTGGCGCGCCGAGGTCTGGGGGGTCTGTTCCGCAATTTATGTTCGCTTTGTCACAGCAGCGTAACAGGCTGAGCGAAATGGTTGTCTCCTCCGCCTCCTCCGGCGACACCCACCGGGCCGCCCCGCGGGTCCGTGCGCCGGGCGGTGGTGGGGTAGGATGACTTTGTGGAAAGAGGTGGAGGAGAGAGGTAGGTTGCGGTTACCCGAAAGCTGGTTTTGCGGCGTCCTGTGAAGAATTTAGCGAACGGGAATTTTACTTTTCACATTTAGATTCAATTATAAGGAATATTGTCGGGTACCGATCGCGGCGGTTAGTGATTAGTCTCTGTGGTAGGCACTCCCCTTCCCAGGCGTTCCAAAGTGGTGCTTTCGAACGGGCAGCGACCGATCCGCTACCATGACAGTTTTCAGTAAAAAAACAAAACTTAGCCAAAGCCGAGGGGGCAATAACTCCCATTTGATGTGTGCACATGATTCCCGAAATAGTTGATTCCCAGTGATTCCCGTATGCTTTTATTCATTCCTTTGGGTTTTCTAGTGGTAGAAAACGCATAGGCGCGCTTATTTCGACTAATTTGTACCAGTTTCACTAGTATCCCGCTTAGTTCAAGCGATTTCTGTTGATTTCGATTGATTTTTATCCTGTTGATTCCCAGTCAGGTGTACACATGATTCCCGGAGTTATTGCCCCCTCGGCCAAAGCGTAGGACGTGCGGAGGAAGGTCTCCCAGGGCTATCCGGTCGTTTTTTTGTTTTGTTTTTTTAGCATCACGGTAGCACTATTGGTGGCGCGGTGCAGCACGCAATACGATACATGTGCGTGGGACGGGCGAAAACGAGAGAGGGGAGGGGGAGGAGGAGAGGGAGAGAAGGGGGCTGGTGGCTGGTATTGCGGGCGAGAAGAGAGCAGTGGCAGCAGCTCTGATTTCGGAACATGTGTCGGGCGGATGAGAGCAAAAACCAGGGCAGCGCTTTGGCTAATCAGCGTGACACGACGGCGGCAAGAGGCGAGCGGGCGAGTCTGCACTGCCTGCAGAGGGAATTCCTCATTAGCACGGTGACTGGCAGGGCACGGGGCGGGACGGGTACACAGCATACGCACCGGCGCACGAGAAGAATTCGGTACACTGTCAACTGTTTCGACCGAGATGAAAATACTTTATAAGTGTGACACTTTACACTTTACAGTGGATTTTTTCCCTCTTTTTTTTTTGCGTTTATCGGAGTACAATCTGATGGCCATTGCGGCTCGGGGTTTGGGAGCATCTGTCTCTCCCTCTCAGTCTCTCTGTCTCTCTTGTCTCCATTCACGACGTCCTATTGTTGGCCTTCCCCGCCTGTCGACGCTAACCGTCAGGCATTCCTTTGGGCACGGCGGCGTCAAGCCTCTCTGTCCTCTGAAGACCCCCCTAGGCACCCCACCCCGCCCCACCCTCGTCCCTCGTGTGCCAAACGGAGTGTCTGGGGCAATACCGTACCAGCCATGCATGAAAATGGGATGTGACAGAGCTAGAGAGCAGGGAAGCATAAAGCATACACAGCTTAGCCGCTTATGCGGGCATTCATTGGATATTCCCATAGGGCGTCGCTGCCTCGCACCACTCTGCCATACTCTGTCAAAAAATAAAACACGAGAGAATAAGAAAGACAATCGCCCGCGCCAGCAAAAAGAAAAAAAAAAAAACAGGTGACAAGCTCCGGTAAATTTATCGGTAGTAATTTTCCAGTGAAGCACTTGCAAGGGATATCTGCACGAGCAAAAATCTGGGAACTAGTACAAAAGGAAAGGGAGACTAGGGTGCGGAGGACGTTGCGAGTAGCGAAGGACGCCTGATGGGTAGGCAATCCGAACACACGCGTGTGCGACGGGTCGGTATACCATCCGCTCCGCGGGCGCTGTGCCGTGCCGCTCGGCCGGGCAGACCCCCCCCCCCTTCCTCTTCCCCCTTCCACACCCAACGCCGCCCATTTCAGCGACCCACGCACAAACGCGCGACGACGCCTTCCCAGATTTGAATCAGGAAAATGGCTCGGGGCTCAAGGGGTCCATGGTCGGGGTGTCTGTCGGTCAAAGGGTATAAGAAGGAGAGGTATAAAACACGTCGGGGTAGACGAGCACCATCCATCAGCGGGCCATCACCATCAATCTTTTTATTGGTGACCAGTCAATCTCCTCCCACCGCCGCCCCCGCCGCCCTCACCACCCCCCTCTCCCTCTTTCACTCACTTTCACAGCCAAAAGCCGTCGTGGTCGCACGATATGCGCCCCTTATTCGACAGTGACATTAATAAAGTTTAAAATAATGAAGAGATAGAGAGATAGATAGATAGATAGATAGATAGATAGATAGATAGATAGATAGATGGTTGGATGCACCCGGCAGGAAGGACGAGAGAAGGAACGGCGGCGGTCGTGCCCGGTCGGAACAAGCCCGGCAAAGCCAGAAGACGGAAGGCGGGGCTTTGGCGTCCTCGCGCCCCCAGCAGACAGCTCCCCTCTCCTTCCCCCGGTATCTAATTTGCCCCGCCCGCCTCGCGCCAGTCCGCAGCACAGCAAGCAGTCGTCCGAAACCCACGCGCGCGCCAGAAGACGAACGGGGGCCCGTCATACAGAAACATCTCCTTTCGCGTTTTTGTACATTCAAAATAAAATGTCTATACACCTTTTTTTCCCCTTCGTGTTTTTCTCATTTCTTCGGACTTTGGCCGCGCCGGTCGGTTTGCGCCGCGCGCGGCCGCTGCAAACGTCGTACTCTCCTAAAAATAATAATAATAGCGTAAAAGCGGTGCGGCGGCGCCATCGTTAAATTATTCCGTGCGGATGCAGAGGGCTGCAGGGCGGGGCGGGGCTGGGCGGTTCGAGGTCAACAACACAGAAATAAACACGACCAGCCAATCACGCCAACAACACGCCGCCGGCCCAGCAGTCCGTTCACAAAACACGTCGCGCCGCTACAACATTATTCTCGAAGGGCATAGCGGGAGCGGGGTTGTTTTAAAACTACTGATACATTCAAAGGGCCGGGCTAAAACGCATACCTCACATTCCTCTCGACGTTTCTCTCTCCTATCCATAAAAACTATTTTCAGACACTTCTGCGCGGCGTGATCGTTTGTGCGGTATGTGCGATATCTGTTTTACCAGTTTCTCATTCCTTCGTCTCTCCTTTTCGTCCTCCGTGCCCACATAACCCGCGTCCCCCTTTTCTTTTCGGCGTGACGTAAAAGTATGCACTTCCCCATATGGGGAGGAAGGGAGGAGGCCCGTGTCGTGGTTTCGATCAGCCAAAGCTTCCGCGCTCTGCTGCCCGCGCCCCGCCAGCTCAGCGACTCGCTCTGCCGCCCCACACGGCCCCCCGGCCCGCGCTCCACCAGAGCGCTCCGACCCCACCAAGCCTTGCTCACCGCACAGCACGGCGAGGAGGCCTCGGCAACTCGGCGCCCCGTGAAAAAGTAAATGTAGTGCAAGGTCAACATGCCACGCCACGCCACGCCCCCTATCTCCTCCGCCTCGCGTGCTCCGTGTTCTTCCCCCCCCTCCCCCCCTCTCTCCTCACAAACAGGACCTCCGGGCTGCCCGCTGCCGGGGCTACGCGGCAGCAATGTTTATTTTTTGACAAGCCAAAGGGAAGACCAAACCGCGCAAAAAAGCAAAGACGGCAAAACCACACGACAAAGTTATACATTTTAAACTTATCCAAAACAAAAACGAACAGGAACACGATAAAAGAACACTTTTACTAAACGTAACTACGGTAGTAATACGTGACGGCAGCGCTCATTGTACGGCCTAATTGCCTCCGCCACACCTTAACCCCCACATTTGCCAGCCACCCCCTCGCCTCTGTGACATAATGCCCTTTATCTCTCATGACAATCACCCCCTCCCCAACATCGCTATACAGTTACTCTCGTGTGTGTGTGTGGGGGGGGGGGGGGGGTGCGATGAATACTGGGTATGACGAGGCTTTCGCTGCACGCGCAATTTTCCATCCAGCTAATCCTGCGCTTTGCCCGAGACCAGCCAGCAACAGCAGTAGGGATAGAAAGCAGGACGCGCGCGCGCACACACACACGCACACACACACAGTAACACCCTCATCAGAGTAGCCCCACAATAACCACCAGAGACTAGGGGAGAGCAACGCGGCGGCGGCGGGCGCTTGCAGAGCAAACAATTTACACCCTCTTGAAAACGAGGTCATGTAAGTAGTAGTTGTTCCTCCCTCTCTGTTGCCGCGCATGACACACCGAGTTCTTGTCGTTTTGTGAGCTACTTTGTTAATTTAAAAAACGTATTTTTTATTTTTGTTTTCGTTACGCAGCATGGCAGCAGTGTGAGAGGCGCTGCTGCAACGGCCAGCCGCCGGCCGGCCGGCGCGCGTGGGCCCGGTGCTTCATCCCCTTTACTCCTGTCCTGGCCGCTTCCCGTTCGCGTCCCTCTGCCGCTCCCCTCCGCCGGGCTGAGCCGCGACCATCATTACGCCGGCCGTGATAAATCTGAAATGTAGTCGCATATATATAACATTACTCACCGGAATGGCTGCTGAGGACGGGCGCCTATGCTCCGCTTCAGGGAGGCGGAGGAGGTGTCGGTGGTGTCGACGGCGGCGGCCGCGGCGCGCGCGGGCGAGCCGGGGGGAGCTGGCCCCGTGGTGGTCGTTGTCGTCGTGGAGGCTGCGGGCGTGGAGGCCACGAGGTTCCTGTTCTCGGGGACGGAGCCAAGGAGATACACGGTCGTCGTTGTCGTCGTCGTCGTTATCGCAGGCAGACCTCGTCGGCCGTTTGGGCGGGCGGGGGCGCTGCGCGCCTCGGAGCCCACGAGGACGCGCAGGTCGTGCGGGAGCTACCCGCCGTCGTCCTGGTGTGCAGGTCCTCGCCGGCGACGTGCTGCTCGCCGAGCAGGTGCTTGGGCTCGGACACGCGGGCGCTCGCGGGGGGCGGCGACTCGACCCGGCGGCGGCTCGGCAGCGACTGGCTGTGCGCTGGCGGCTGGCGCGCGGGGGCGGGCGGGCACCGCCACCCAGCCACAGTGGGTGGTTGGGGGAGGGCCGGAGGGGCGGGCGGGTGCCCGCTGCGCTCGCTGTACCTAGACTACCACCTCATCTCCCCCGTCGCGCTTCCCCAGATCTGGCCCCAGCCACATTAGCTTTATCCATTATCGCCCATTCCCTGACCCACTTACCCCTGCCCTTCCCTCTCACCCCCCTCCCACGCCCCCTTCGCACTTTCGCCCTCACCCATCCCTACCCCACCCCTCAGATCCTTATTCCCAACTTTCTCCAGTGTTTGCTTTTTTTCTCTCTTTCACGGTTCTCCCTGTGTCCATGACGGTGCATTCTAATAACATCTTAGAAAGAAGATATTCTGAGCGATGTCCCGTCCCAGGTACTTCCAGTGAGGCGCCAACGTGATGTACAACAATACTCGTGTGAAATGAGTCCTCCAAACTAACAGCTTTAGTTGATTTACAGAAATCTTTCACTTTACAGTATACGCTCTTAATGTCAAGGACAATTTTTTTAACTAGCACCGGACTTCTGTGAACATAACTGCGAGTTCAGATACAATATTGTAGCTTACTAGTAGTCACTAAATGTTAGTTGAGAGTTAAAATATTGTATCTGAGCTAGTTATGCACACAGAACCCCGGTTCCAGTTACAAAAATTGGCCTTAGACATTTAGAGTGTAATAGTACGACTAACAGTTGAACACTCAATGAAATTGTCGTAGACGAAGCATTCGAAACGCCATAGGATAGAGATCTACCTTTTATTTTTGGCCGATGATGACAAAACTGCTCGACAAGAAAGCACCCCGCTGCCAGCAAAGCAAAGCACCATCTCTCTCTCTCCTTATTCGCCCCTCTCTTTTTTTAACCCAACAGAGAGCGACTCATCTAGCAGCAATGGGGAATGCCGCACCACTTCATCCCTCAACCGCAAACCAAACATGCCTGCCAGAGGGGAAAAAGAGAGGATTTTTTTCACAGCGACGGGACGAGAAGGATAGGAGGAGCAAGGGAGAGGTGGGCGAGGGGATATTTAATCGGCTTCCTGGGCGCAAAGAGAGATGAGGGAACCGCGCGGGAAGAAGATTTCTTATTCGACTCCCACTTTGGCCCTTCTGCTAAAGAAGATGCATTCGCTGAACAGAATTGTGACCCTGCATTGCTATACAAGAACGCATTAGCGTCACTTGCGTTTACCACATTTGTTTGGCCTAACAAACAACTCGCTATTAAAAGAAAGCTTTAAATTTTTTTTCAGCCTGAACATAATTAACCTCACATCCACTGCAGCCAGTGCGTCAATCTGCCCGTCACGCAGAGCGCTGCGTTCTGGAGCCGGGAGGAACCTTCTGTTTTGTTTTGTCCATGCTTTAAGCCCAGCGCTCTTGTCTCATGGTTGACGCCCTTGTACATTACTTATGACTCATCTTTTAAACAGTGGGGGATTACTGCACAACCGTGGCCGGCGGAATCGCAAAGACTGGGCTAGAGAGAAGAAAGAAGGGAGAGAGTGAGAGTGAGATAGGAAAGGAGAGAAGGGGGGAGGGTGAGAAAGAGAGAGGGGGGAGGGGAGAGATAAATGCATGCGCCCATCCTCCTTCCTGCACCCTCTCTAAATGCAAAATGGCCGTCTCTATTGGCGACTGCTTCCCATTGTCATGCCTTTTCGTTCCATTAAGCATCACTCTAAAGGCCATCCCCAGCATTTCTCCGCGCGCCGCCCAAGATGGGACCTACTGCCGCCTAAACATCTGAATCAGTGGGGAATAATAGCAATGCAGGACTCCACTCAAACCTGATTTACACATCGGAAACTACTCGTTCGTTGTGTCTCGTAAGCACTGGGTATATAAACACTCCCCCTCCACCACCACCACAGCCACACCATCTCGTCCTTCTTCTCCTCCTACTCCTCAAAAGTGGAAGTGTGAAATGTGCACTTCGTCATTAGGTCTCTTTTCATTTCTGCTTTACTGCAAGAATTTTCTTTCTTAATACAATTTAAAGCCTGCTGCATTGAGTTGTCGACCCCTAGGCAAACGCGGAAAGCTTTGTGCGCCAGCCACACGATTTTTTACATGGGCTCTATACTTGTCTACACGACACAACACAACAGTGCAAATGCACATGTAGCATACGCGCAAGAAATGGTGCACGTAAAAGCATAGCAAATATGTCCTTGCAGGTCTTTCCCCGCGCGCACTTCTTGGGAGTGTGCTAACACCTCGCCCGAGTATGGAGACTGTGTGCTCACAGAGCGCCATGCATGCGTTAAACAAGGTCCTATGCGGTCTTCCTCTCCCTCGTTTGGCGATTTGGCACGCGATTTAAACGCATGTTGTCGCTGCGCCAACACTCAATGTGATTAGTTCCGAGGCTGTAAGAGAGAGGGGTGGGCCGGGGGTAACCATCCCCGTCACAAAGGCTGGCCCTAGGGCTTAGCCCTCCCTTGGCTAGCCGCCGCCGCCATTGGTCTGCCTACGCCGCCCGCATGCCGGCCTGGGCCTGGCGGTGGTATGCCGGCTTAAGCACACACCCCTGCAGACGACTTAATGGGCCTGTGTGTTAATTGCTGCCCCCCC